GGAACCGATTACAAGGATCTACATGTGACCTCCTCCCTGGGGTACGGACAACAGAAAAGTGGGTGAAGGGAGACGTTGGACAGGGCAAGATATGATAAAATAATAATTTATAAATTATCAAGGGTTCATGAGGTAAGGGGGAATAGGGAGGGAGGGGAAAAAATGAGCTGATGTCAGGGGCTTATATGGAGAGCAAATGTTTTGAGAATAATGAGGGCAATTAATGTACAAATGTGCTTTACACAATTATGTACGTATGGATTGTGATAAGAGTTGTATGAGCCCCTAATAAAACTATTAAAATCAAATCATTAGTCATTCAAAATCAAACCCATTGCCATTGAGTGAATTCAGACTGACAGCAACCCTATGTAGGATTTCCAAGGCTATCTTCTCAGAAGATAACCTCATCCTTCTCATGCAGCGTAGCTGGTAGATTTGAACCACCAACCTGACAGTTAGCAATGTCAATCACACCACAATGGATCATTCCACAGACATGAGGATGGATACAATGTGGCCAGCGTCAATTGGCAGAGCACTGTCTACAAAGACAGCTTTCCTGAGGAGCAACCGGGTCTTCAAAGCGTGTGAGCGGCCATGTAAAGTCCAACTACTGTGCTCTCGCTTCCAGATGAAGGGAGAGTGGGGGAAGCAAAGGCATATGGGAACAACTAGTTCAACAGACTGAGCATCAGTCTGCACGGCCCTGAGACCAGAAGAAGTAGACAGTGCCTGACTACCTCGACCAAGTGCTCTGAAAGGGTTTCCATTTGGTGGTCCTGGTTTGAGAGAATAATATGGAACAATAGTATGATTTCAAATCATAAAAAAGACTAGGTTTTTTTGGTGTGTATGTGTTTTTTTAATAAATCATTTTACTGGGGGGCTTGTACAACTCTTATCACAATCCACACATCCATCCTTTGTGTCAAACACATTTGTACATTTGTTGCCATAATCATTTTCAAAGCATTTTCTTTCTACTTGAGCCCTTTGAATTAGCTCATTTTCCCCCTTCCTCCCTCCCACATGAACCCTTGATAATTTATAAATTATTATTTTTCATGTCTTACACTGACCAATGTCTCCCTTTACCCACTTTTCTGTTGTCCATCCCCCTGGGAGGGGTTATAGTAGATCACTGTCATCAGTTCCCCCTTTCTCCCCCCACCTTACCCTTCCCCTCCTGGTACAGCTACTCTCAATACTGGTCCTGAGGGGTAAGACTAGGATTAATGCTTAGATAGAAACTATAGCAACTCAGTTAACCTCTGGGTCTGGAAATAAACTCACCCTGAAAGCTCAATTTTCAGCCTAACAAAATAAAGACACAATAATGTAGTGAGGTATGCACTCCGTAGACCTGTCAACCGTTTGAGATCAAAAGGGTAGGCAAGTAGAAAGTTCAGAAGGGTTAGGAGAAGAGGCTCAAGTAGAAAGAAAATGTTTTGAAAATGATGATGGCAACAAGTGTGCAAATGTGCTTGACACAAAGGATGGATGTATGGATTGTGATAACAGTTGTAAGAGCCTCCAAAGATTTTTTTTAAGATAAACAGAATCATTTTAAAAAAAGAAAAAGGAAAACCATAACCAAGGGATCAGGTAGAAAGAAAATGTTTTGAAAATGATGACAGCAACATATGTATAAATGTGCTTGATACAATTACCAATAATGTATGTGTTGTTATAAGAGTTTCAAGAGCCCCCAATAAAATATTTTAAGTTTTTTTAAAAGGGCTATAAGAGTCCCCAATAAAATGATTTATAAAAAAATAAACATTTTAGAAAATG